ACTTAAGAAGAGGTCAAAGGTAGTGAACCACCCAAATTCCGTCTTCCAGTACCTTTAAAATGACTGCTACTCCCTTACTATTTGGAGTACTGGGTCAAGATTGGACTTCAAATGTAGATTTTAATGGGAGGAATAAGGATCACTTGTTTAATCATCCATTCTCGGGTACCGTTATTACACAAAACAAAAGAAAGGTGAAAAAATGGGTACCCTTTTTACTCCCACTGGCTTTAAAGTTTTATCAGCATGGTTGAGTACATCCATGAAACCTACACCAAAATGTTCCTCTACCAACACACAATAAGAATCAATCATTCTTGTGTCAAAATTTTGGACAAATCCACTTAAGAACGACGGACAGGTCAAAGTGCACTCGTTGACCCAACCAAAGGTTTCAATCATCATGCGGAGTACATCAATAAAACTTGCAGGATATGTTCCCCGAGACATCTTGACAGCATCCAAGCCTTTCTTAAGTATCTCCATGCTGAATATGACAACTTAAGAAAACTTTAAATTGGGCATTGTAGTGACCCCCAATATCAAGATCACAGCTATATCTGTGTCTGAGGCTCGTACAACAATGTTCCCTTCAGTTGTGTCAGCAGCATTGGCATGGATGATGATTTTGGTGTCTGCCTCTTCGTGCCAAACTGTGGATGGATGTAGGCACGGCTGCTAAGAATAGCCGCAGATTCATTAATATTTCAGCAACATCAGTGTCACTCGGGAAGGAAAGCTACAGGCCAAAACCCATTAGCAAAACTGAAAGGCCTGGATGGAAGTTTGATACCACCTTGTGAGGCAGAAGTTATCACTCACATTCAGAGAGCATCGTTTGTTGCCAAGATGTGGTCAAAGGCCAATAGACAGGAGATTGTTCAGCACCCGAAGAAAAGCGATGGATGGGAGTTCGAAGATGGGTCGTATGTACCTGTATGGTTTGATGGCCCTCAGCTACCCGACTCCCTTGTCCCAGACGAAGGTGAAATGAATGACGATGGTGATAAAGATGAGGAAAAGATGGAGGCAGCATCCTCGGACGAAGAAAATGAGCTGTCATGATGATGAGAAATAGTCAGTTGAAGAAATGCATAGTCTCAATTTAACTCCTAGTTTCTCCATGTAATTATAAGTAAAAAATACAAACGGCATATCAAACTATAATAGACCATGTGAGCACAAAAACATTTCATAGGTATAACTGATTAACTAACATGGAGTGCTAATATTTTGCCATGAATCCATCAAGTTTTAAGTTGTGATTATCTGCGTACAGACCATGTGAGCAGCAAAAACATTTCACATGTATATCTGATTAATTAACATGGAGCACTAATATTTTGCGATGAATCCATCCAAGTTTTAAGTTGTGATTATCTACGTACAGTCAATAATCATCGTTAGTACCACAGTTCAGTATGAAATCTATTACATTTTATGTTTTTATGTACCATTATAGTGTGTTTTCATGTATTTTTTGTATTAAATAACATTTCCATTTCGTTACTGGTTATTACCGCCACACAAGCATGTCAAATGATACTATACAATTGGGGGTCACTACAATGCCCAATTTAAAGTTTTCTTAAGTTGTCATATTCAGGATGGAGATACTTAAGAAAGGCTTGGATGCTGTCAAGATGTCTCGGGGAACATATCCTGCAAGTTTTATTGATGTACTCCGCATGATTGAAACCTTTGGTTGGGTCAACGAGTGCACTTTGACCTGTCCGTCATTCTTAAGTGGATTTGTCCAAAATTTTGAATGATTGATTCTTATTATGTGTTGGTAGAGGAACATTTTGGTGTAGGTTTCATGGATGTACTCAACCATGCTGATAAAACTTTAAAGCCAGTAAAAAGGGTACCCATTTTTTCACCTTTTTTTTTTTGTGTGTGTGTAATAGCGGTACCCGAGAATGGATGATTAAACAAGTGATCCTTATTCCTACCATTAAAATCTACATTTGAAGTCCAATCTTGACCCAGTATTCCAAATAGTAAGGGAGTAGCAGTCATTTTAAAGGTACTGGAAGACGGAATTTGGGCGGTTCAATACCTTTGACCTCTTCTTAAGTGGCTTTTTCCACAAAACCAACACTTAAGAATTACCAATATGATATCAGCATGCCATAAAGTATATTCTGTAAAGGTTTCACTGATGTACTCAACATGCTGTTCAAAAGTGGTAATTGGCATTAATTAGGTCATTCTTAAGTGGCCAAACCCATGTGTTCACTTAAGAATGGCCGTTTAGGGATCCATGGCCCCTTAGGTGTTCAACCCAGGTGTCAAACCTTTTGTACCCGACATACTGATTAAATCCCTCTGGGCTCTCTGACTACATGTACATAGAAGAGGCTGTACATGTTCCACTCAAAAGAATTTTTGTGGGCTGTTTTACCTTTACAATATTGAACTTGCTTAGCAAAACAAGGTTAAAAATGAGTACATATCAACAAAATAAATGTATTGTTCAATCATTCCTTCATACAAAGATTTTCAAGTTTGACATATATATATACTGAGCTTATACATAGCAAGAGTCAAATCACTTTGGGGAGTATGCTAAAAGTCAACACTTAAATCTATATACACTATATACATAATTAAATGAATCAGGAACATTAGTTTTTGTTTTTGGACTACTAGCTCCATTTCCACTGAAAAACATGATAAATACAAAATAAAATTGGACGGTACCACATAAAATACAACTAATTGGGAAGTTGACCCGTTAGTAATAACTTATCCATTAAAATCAGGCTAATATAAAACAGTCTGGTTAAACATGATCGTTTAAAAGAATTTTCTTTATCAAGTTACAACAAATGTGGGATATGGGAGAATATTATTCTAAAATATTAAACAAAGAACCTCAAAGCACATGCATAATCAAAATTGTTTGTGCAAGAAGTTGATGATATCACAGACCAATCATGAGTTAAGATGATTAAATTATAACAATGCTTCAAATTTTGTTTCTCAAGAAAATGCAAGTAAGATTATTACTAAAAAGAACAAATTCCAAATTTCCTACATACACTATTATAAATCTGTACATATGAAATTTACACAAGTATGAGGATATCAAAATCTGTATTGCGTGTGCACAAACACAATCAACACAAGATATTCCCTCTGTACATGAATAATTAATGCTATATATCACAGCCAAGCAACACTTGTTGTAGCTGTCGTCAATTTTGAAACTAATTTCTAAATCATATCAGATGGAATTTTCACGTCAATGTGGGTACTTTACATATATATTAATATATGACATGCTACTCACATACAGTTTAAATCAGTGGTTGGATATGAGCATTGGCCCCAGTCTTCAGAAGTGAATGAATAGCAAATATACAACTAACTAGGCTATTCAATGTTTTAACAATTTGTATTCATATTCTTTTGACAGCTTCAAGTATTGGCATTAGTTCAGTACAAGCCATTAAAACAACAGAGCCCAAAAAGATATTTGATACTTCTTAACATCTTAATGTGATATATACAGAACAAAACTTCTCTGTTAACTAATATAATAACATTCATTAAGTTTAAGTACTGATTAAAATTCAAAGACTAATTAGTTAATATAACTTTGTCCAAAATACTTACCCTCAGTCCAAGTTTAAATCTATCTTTACAAAAGGTTTTCTTATTGGATAATTTTATATCAAATGATAAAAGTCAGTAAAAAGTATTTTTTTTCAGTATCAACTAAAGTTAAATAATGTTCAATAGCAGACTGGGGTGTTGGGCAACCAATAAACAAATATTTTCAATCCTTCACCTGTTTGCATGCACCTCTTTCTGGATTTTTATACAGTGCCTTACTTGGGTTCAGGGTTACAATAATATTAAATAATAATTTATAATCAAAGTCAGCTAACAGCATTTATCTGTCATCTAATTCTTGCAAGTCACTGTAAAATATACATTTACCTCATTGGGCTCATCTTTATACAAAAATCTGATAAATTTATCTTAACCATTGCAACTGGTAGTGTGAGTTAATATAAGTATAAGCCACTGAGAATTAAATAATAAAGGAAAATCATTATGTATAATGAAACTAATTACTAAAATAAATGATATAGTGGTATTAATAATAATCATTAAAAAATAATAAAAAAATGCAGCAGTTATAATAATAATATTTTTTATCACTGTTATTATTGTTATTATTATTGTTATTATTGTTATTATTATTATTATCATTATCATCCTTTTCATTATTATTACTATCATTATTATTATTATTATTATTATTATTATTATTATTATTATTATTATTATTATTATTATTATTATTATTATTATTATTATTATTATTATTACTACTACTACTACTAATAGATTATCATCATGATAATAATAATAGCAATAATAACAACAATAATAATAACATTAATAATAATAATAACATTAATAATGTGATGTATTATTGATGATTGAATGATGATGATGATGATGATTGATGATGATGATGATGATTGATGATGATGATGATGATGATGATGATGATGATTGATGATGATGATTGAAGATTATGATGGTATGATGATGGTGATGATAAAAAAAAAAATGAAAATGATAGAAACAACAACAATAATAATACTAATACTACTACTACTACTAATAATATATAAATAATAATGATATTCATAATAATATAAATATTCACCGTAATAACTATATTCATAATAATATTGCTATTATTTATAATAATAATATTAAAGATGATAATAATGTGAATAATAATATATAATATAATAATATAATAATAATAATATAACCTCTCTATATAGCAACTATATAAAAACTAAATATGATAAATATTAATTTTCAATGCATGTATTGTCAAAGAAAAAGAGAAAAAAAATACATACATACATTACATTACACATTACATACATTCATACATTCATTATACATCATACATTCATACATTTACATTACATACATTACATACATTACATACATACATACATACATACAGACAGACAGACAGACAGACAGACAGACAGACAGACAGACAGACAGACATACATATAATAATAATAATAAAAAAAGAAACTGTAACAATCGTGACAATGGAATAATGATGGTAATATAACAAAGCTCAAATCTTGTTTATATACTATTTCTGCTTGACTTCAAGAAGCTGTGGGTAGTTTTCTACAATGTTAAGGAGGATTCCGTCGATGTATGATCGGAGATGCTGGTTGGCTTCTTGCGCATCCTTCAGAGATTTCTTGAGCTGTTGATAGAAAAATATTTTTAAAAGTTAAAGACTAGACATCATGTCTCCATTATTATGAATGGTATAATATATGTCAGGAATAAATAATTTTGCCTTTAAAATCTATTACAGTAAGGAAGCAGAAGAGGACAATTTAAAAATGAATATGATGCTTCTTTATAGTGAAGTATTACACCAATGATTTTTTTTATCAGCTTTGAAATAAACTTTTTTTCATCATAGCTAAACATGCATTTATCAAAACAGCATGCACTAAGTGTGATTGAAATAAAAATTAGTTTTAATTTGCTAATCCAAATTTAACATCAATGACTTTATCATCATTCAAATTCTGTTAAGGGTCCTTCTTACTGAAGGAAATTGTAAATCCATATGAATTTCTGTGAATCAATACAAACAACACATGTGGAAGCCACACACAGATACAATTTGACCATGAAATATTATTCAATCTGCTAATATGGGAAATGCAATATCAATTCTTTTTGTCTTGTGCATTTTGTGTTAATATATTTGCTGAGTGAATCTCGTCGACAAGTAAACACTAAAGACAAGATCAAAGGGGATGTTTTCTTTTCTGAAGGCTAAGAGGTGCAGAGCCCAAAGAAATGAGAATAACACTCAGGCAAAAACAAGGCTGTTAGTTAAAGGCATGCAAGGTTATTTAAAAGCTAAGATATATGACAGAATATCATAATAAAGAAGCAGAAAAGGATGCATGATCTGTTTTCATTTCTTATTTTCATAATAGCTAATCCTTTTTCTGAATTTTAATAATCATTACAAAATAATCAACATCCTTTTCAGTCACTCTTAAAAGATTCTGTCCATATCAAGCCAGTGTCCACCACAAACTTTACAATACCTTCTCGACTGTGTCACTGCCATAGAGTGCACCCTATGAGAAAAAAAATGTGCTTTAAAATGTGCAAAAACAGAGGCTACTTAAAGAGCTTTTACAGGTTCTCCCAGGAACAATTAATGGACAGATCATTTCTCAACTATCATTTAAAAAGGAAAACTTTTTCCAGAGATACCAAGTACACCCACAGTGACAAGGAAATTACGCAATAATTATACTGTGAAAAAATACATAAATATAGATCAAGCATATTACACAACACCCACAAGTAAGAACTGTCTCAAGTCTAGCTAGCTAGCTTTGGTAATTTCAATTTATTTGCAATGTTAAAGCAATAAACCTCCTCTGCCATATATATATTTTTTTAAGAGTCATGTATCCAATGTGTCGTAAATGTAATAAAAGTCTGTATGATTTCATCAAAATTAATAACTACAGACCAAACTTCAACAATTCTGAAGGCTCCAGTGTTTCTATTTTGAATAGTTCTGATTGCATAATACACATATAAAATGGTTAGCATAAAATTGCTCTTCTCTTAAATACCACATTACTGCATGTCTTATGTATGATTAAGAAAAAATAATTAAAAACAAGGAAACAGTATTATATGACAGAAGATTTATCAAATTCATGAAAAATCTGCAACAATAATCAGTGTTGAAGTATATCAGGTTGTGTTTCATTTATATAAACTAAAAGAGAAATGCAATGCTACAGAATAAGTTTTCAAAGCATAATACATTGGTATTCCAAAGAACATGAAACATGGACATAATATCTTGGATAAAAATGAGACAGTGAAAATATTCTTTCCCATTGCAAACTTCTTTAGTACATTGTCCTGTCTCTATTCTTATGTATTTTAATAACAATTCAAGACAAAACAAAATACAACCTCAAGAAAGCATTAATTATGCTAACATAAGAAAATGCAATTCAGTGAAAGAAAACATCCATTCTGCATAACATCTTTTTGTATGTTTAAAGACTCAGTTTCTTCACACATTCATAGCAATAATCAGAACAAAGCATAACATGGCTAACCTCTTCACTAGTCATGGCCTCAAATTCAGCAGCCAACGAGTTATTGTTTGTAGCTGTGACTAGTGTGCGTCCCTCTTCTAATCGGGAGGTTAACAACTGAGCTTGAAGATCTTCCACTTGCTCAACAAGATCTGTGAAAGGTCAATTTCAACTAATGACAAGAAGAGTAAAATGTACTTCTCTTTTGCTTAAGGAAATAAGAGAAAATATTTCATTTCAGTTCTTAAAACATCTGGTTTCTGTAATACTGTTAAACCTACTCTTGTTCTCTTCTCTGAGTTGCCTGATAGTAGCTTGCAACTCTGCAGTCTGGGCAGTCTGAGGGTCAACACTGGGTGACCGTTTCCTGGCAGTTTCCTCAGCTGTCCGTAGGCGTTCTATTTCACACCGTAATTCTTCTATTACCTGTACAGAAATATTAAGTTTTACCCACATAAAAATCATATTAAAGATATACACACAAACATAGAAGTAAACATATTCCTTTAGAACAGCATGATTCAGTTATATTCAGTTAGTTCATTAACTTACACTTACCTGAGCACTTCTCTCTCTCTCAACTTTAATTTCTTCCTTTTCTCTCCTTGAGAGCTCTGCCAATTTTCCATTTTCCTGATGGAGTGCTGATGCAGAAAACTCTGCTTCTGATACACGATCTTCTAAAGCCTCTTTCTCTTTTTGTAACTTTTCTAACTGACTTTTTGAACGTCTGTAATCATCATCTACAGCTTTCTTCTCTTTTTCTACACTAGCTAACCTGAAAGGTTAAAAGTAATGTTCATAACTTTAGAAGAACCCATATCTTTAAGCTTAACATACCTTAGGAGCATAAATCATTGAAACATTGATGGAAAAAATACATATATATTGAGAAACAATGAGTCACCAAATATACTGTGGGCTATACACATTCAAACACAAATGTATGAGCACATCTACTGAAACAAATGGAAGGGATGAGAGGAGAAATGGAAACAAGGAGAGGAGGAAAGAAGGAAAGTTCATACAGAAAAGAGGGGAAAATATATAAAGAAACCAAAAGTCAAAATAAATATCAGCAGATAGTTACTTGATGGTGTAATTTTCTATAGTAAGCTGCTTTTCTCGTTCTATACGTGTTACAAGCTCCCGGTTCCTCCTCTGTTCCTCTGCCAGCCGTTCCTCATGTCGCATCTCTGCCTCCCGGAGTTGCTCTTCTAACATCACCACTCTATAAATATTCAAAAATTACACTTGTAGATGTCTTAAATTCTTTCACAATGGAGAAGTACCAACACCTACTTTACACAACAGTGTCATGTATTTATAAATGGAGGATCTACTTTAACAAGAATAGGAAATATGCTGCTCATATTAGAAAAAAAAAAAGTTTCTTTCATATTCAAGCATTAAATCTCTAGACTGAATATCTATATGGATAATCTTTCAAAATGAACATGTAGCAAATACTGCATCATCTAAAATATTTCACACAGACCTCGCTTGGTACGCAGCATTGTCCTGCTTGACACGAGAAAACCGGTCATCCGAGTTCACCTGATTCTCAGCTAAAACTCCTACTTGTTGCTGCAACATTTGTACCTGTTGAAAGAGGACCAAAAATTAGAGAACTTTATACTGCTAATCTGTTTTTGCTAAAATATGTTGTCTAGGACAAAAAAGAATAATGTACATAAATGTATGCAACAAAAAAAGCACATGCACGCACACGCACACACACACGCACACGCACACACACACACACACACGTACACACATGTACACACACACACTCACACATGTACACACACTCACACATGTACACACACTCACACATGTACACACACACTCACACATGTACACACACACACTCACACATGTACACACACACACACATGTACACACACACTCACACATGTACACACACACACACACAAACACACACACACACGTACACACACTCACACATGTACACACACACACACACACGTACACACACACATGTACACATGTACACACACATGTATATATGTACACACACATGTACACACACACACACAATGTACACATGTACACACACACACACACACACACACACACACACACACACACACACACATACATGTACAAATACATGCACAAACACACACACATGTACATATGTACACACACACACATGTACATATGTACACACACACACATGTACATATGTACACACACATATGTACATATGTACACACACACATGTACATATGTACACACACACAGTAACTCACGTATGCTTTCACTCACACTTCCTCTCACTCAATTGCACTCCCTCACTCACTCACACACAAACTAATTAGCAATATCCCGTGTCATAATAAACAAATTCAACAATATTAGAAATATGAACATGAATGCATGACAACAGTCTCGCCTTGCGTGCTTCTAGCTGGCATGCATTGCAGTTCGTTAAGTGTTGCGTTAACATAGATCTGGCGCTTAGGTTTTTTCAAGCTGTATTCTTTGGTAAAAGTACCTTACCTTCGATTTTTTATCTCCATCAGATGATATGTCCTGGCGTAACACGAACTGTGTACTTTTTGAAGTGTTAAAGTGGTTTACTCTTTACTTTACTTGATTCGGGGAGATGTGACAATCTTTAATGGTGGTTAATCTTTCCACATGCTTTCGTGACCATGTGTTCAAACTTACCTGCGTATCCGGCCGACCAGTGGAGGGAACAGGACTTACCGTCTTGACAATGTCCTTGTAGAACGCGTGTCCATTGCCGCACCGGCCAGAGGGCTTGGTGATCTCGAATTGGCCCTGCCACAAATCATACTCTAAGTCCAGGTCGACACTGTTGTCTACAAAACTGCCCACAACGGGCGTGTTGTTGTTCTCGGCGTCCTCGTCGGAGAAGTCCTCGTCACTGCTGTTACTCATCAGAGAGTCCCTCATAGGGTCCTTACTCATTCCTTCCTCGGCACTCATATTGAAGGCACCACGCAAGTTCACGAATATTTTGCCAGAAGGCTCATATTTCACTTTGCATTGCTTTTCCTATGAACATTCAAAAACCTTTATTTTCCTGACTAATCAGTTAAATAAAACACTTCACTTCCGGTAATTTTCTATATTACGTCTTAATAATATAATTAGTAATATATTATCTATATTACGTCCGCATGACCGATATCGACGATTTTGGTATCGTTGGATTCCTCTCACTCTCCACATTGCAAATATATAGTTTTTATTGCGCGCTAACCCCCCGTTAGCGACAAACTTGGCCCCGATAGCAGGGGAGGGCATGAAAGGTTCCAGGGAAAATGCGGGTTAAAT